GGTTTTTGGTAAAATTTAATCTTACCAACTCAGACTACTTTAGGTATTTACAGATTCACCACTTTATTTCTACCAACACACCAGACTTTCCAAATGAAGCAGAACCTACTGTTTTGGATATGTTTGCACTCTCTCCTGATCTAAAGGGTGTCATTTCTAGAATTCACTCCATAATCACCTCACAAGGGGAGAATATTTATGTTAAGGTCAAAGTTGAGTGGGATACTGAAATGGGAGAGGTAATTCCAGATAGAATATGGGAAGAGGCTTGACACTTTTTGGAACAATACCACTTGATAGTATGGGTTATGGGTATATATCTCTAGGTTCAAAGACATAATAGCCTTTTCAGCTTTGAAAGCTAGAAGACAAATTCTTTTTACGCTGGAAATCGTCCTGCCCACCAAAGTTATCTGAATGGATGTCTGATCTAATGTTGTACCTTAAATTAGAAAAGATTAAATATACACTAAGAGACAGACATTTGAATTGAGAAAGCTTCCTGGAGGGGAAGCGAAACATCTTCAAATCTTGGAAACCAAGTCCAGTAGATTGTTTTTTAAACTTTTACGGGTCCAGTGATCGGTTTTATGGTCTTTGGAATCCATTAATAAAATATTTTGAAAAGCATAAGAAACTTCCTAAGAATCTGTATTTGTAATGTTTAAAAAAAAATAAAAAAACTTATCTTGAGCCAAGAATGTAACTGATTGTTTTGTGTTTAATAAAAAGAGACCTCAAGAAAAAAAAAAAAGACAAAGTTCAATGAATTAAACCACTGCTGATCAAAAGGAACTTTTTTCCAGAGATCCCCATGACCTTTGAGAAAATGTTCTGTGGACTAACAAGACAAGGATTTATTTTGGGAAGGTGTAAAAGAAACACTGCATTTAAGAAAAAGAACATCACACCAACAGTAAAACATGGTGGTGGTAGTGTGAAAAGAAAGCATTTTTTTACTTTTGTACATTTCAGAACCTTTCCTGTTTTACTGAAATAAAAGATGAGAGCTACGGTTGCCACCCTGTAGTTAAGTTATCAGGTTAGCACCTCTTATTTTTTTATTACATAGGTGTCAGGTGTTAACCTGACTCCGCCATATGGATTTACTCCGCATATCCATCTGGAAACCTTCCGTTGAAGTAATTTTGGGAAGGGGCGAAAATACTGGTTAGCTGATAGGCCTATGTTGGTGATAGACGGGCCAAATAAACCAATCAGATCAACGAAGCATATGACGTACTAACAGAGCGACGACGAAAACACAAGCCAGTCGGGCGAAGAGCAAAAACATCTTTTCCTCTGAGAAAAGCCTCCAGAGCAGTGTTTTGCTCTTCTTTCAGCGAAGAAATACTCTGTAATTCCGATAAAACTTGCTCGATAGCCACACTAACGCTAGTTTCATCGGCTGAAGCTGGCATGTTCTTTAGACTGAACTGTCGCCCTTCTCGTTGCGTCACACCTCAACTCGCCTCAAAGCCAACGCTGATTAGACGTTCGTTTGGTGAACGTCTCCAAATTGTCTTTAACAGAGAGTCTCCAGACTGATTAGCGAGTGAAATCTTGAAAGCTCACGAGATCAGGATGGTCTCACGAGGCTAGTCAGGTGTAGAGATTGTGATAAATATTGACATTACAGCATCCCACAGCTGATTTGTTAGCAGCACATCATTAAACAGCATCTGTTGTTCTACAGTCTGAGGTTCTTGCTCTCAGTAGCTGACAGGAATGTTAATCTGTGGGATCCTCTGCTGCTGTAGCTGATCTACTCCAAGGTTCCAGGTGTTGCACTTCTGGAGATGATAATCTTTTGGTGGTACAAATTTATAGTTTTAACTTCAATGGCTTTTCTTTGGCATCCCCTGGAATAAATACTACATATTTGTTAAAATGCAAAAAAACAAAATAAAAATTATTTTTCTGCATCAAGATGCACTAAAATCCAACTGAGATAAAAATGTAAATAAAGACGTGCTAGAAATGATAAAACACAATGCAATCGTTTTTTATTAAAGTCTATATTTACTGGTAGAAGTTACATGATTACATTTTAATTAAAGATTTCAGACACTGGATATCAGTAATTAATAGAATAATGCATTATGTAGTTCATGTAAGCAGAGACTTAAAGTAAATCCTTTGTGTTTTTTTATCCATAATACTATAACGTATAACAAGTGGAAAACAACAGTATGCCCTGCAGTAAAGTGTCCAAAGAAAAGTTTAAGAACTACATTAACAGTTTACTTTGACTATTGATACTAGAATTAACAAGCAGAAATAAACATTAAAACCTTCATACAACAAAAACAACAGCAGCTGTATCAGTGGAACCAGTTTTCCTTCATTTTGTATGAGATGCAACCGAGTCAAACTGTTCAGACATTGAATATTAGCAGATTATACATTAATACAAAACATAATCACAGGCTTGGGGACTAAATATAAATCTATTGTTTCTCTGCTCAGTAGTAACATAACAGGGATGACATGAAACACAGAATGAGAGAACTGTAGAAAAAGTGCTTGAATTTAAAGTGAATTATTTATAAACTGCAGAGAAACACACATTTGACATATAAATTAATTAAAACTGAAAGCCTTTTAATCATAATTAATGCATTAAATATTGCAAACATATTTAAATAGGGTATGATTGTGGTTAACTTTTTTTTTCCACATAAAGATGCATATAATGCTCACTGGTCATCCTTTACTTTTAGCTGTTTTCCTTCATTTTTCTCCAACCTGTCAGTGTCTGAGACTTAAAGTGCTTCGTGTTTAAAATCATACTTGGAGCAACAACCATAGTTGGACATTTTGATTAAATCACATTTTTGATAAAAATCAGTCAGTTTATAAAACTGCATACTTCATGTTTGCTTCTTGTCCTTGAAGCTTTGTGGTTCAAACTGACAGCAGGTCAGTACAGCAGAGCTGGTTGGTGATCTGAGGACTCTGCAGGTAACAAACTGATATAAAACATCTATCAGCTGGATGAACATTGATGAGATGATTCAACCAAAAGTATGTTCAGTTTGTTTTACCCTGAGAAAATTAGCTTCACGTGCTTTCATTCCAAAGAAACTATACCATGCAATAGTTTTACTCAAAATTAACTTTTTTTTTTAAATAACTTTTTAAAACCTTCCTTCTGGGCATGCAGGTGGCGCAGCGTTAGCCAGCATGACCCATGTATGGAGGCCTTAGTCCTTCATGTGACCGACCCTGTGGTTCTTTGCCGCATGTCTCTCCCCCTCTCTCATGCCCCCTTTCCTGTCAGCCTACTGTCCAAAAAACGAGCCACTAGTGAAATTAGTTGCTGTTTAAATAAGAAATTCTGGCTGCTTCCACTAATACTCAAAGGTCAATTCATCCTATTATGTCTGCTTTGATTAGATCCTCCAGTATCGTAACTAAATATGGCATCCCCGAAAGGACACAAATGTGATAAAAGCAAGATGGATAAAACACAGAAACAGCTTTGGTCCAGTGTAGTTTTGGTTTAGCTGACTTAGCAGCTTGGCCTGGCCTGGGTTACTGCTGATAATCCAACAACAGTGATTAAACTGAAGTGTGTATGTTTTACACGGTCATGATTATTTCTTTTTTTCAGATGTTTGTAGTCCGAGTTTGTTTTTTTCCAATACTGCTGAGGTGTATTGCCTTAAAGGAAAATAAAAGAAACTAGTGAGCTTAAACAGGAGAAAAAATATGATTTATTATGTTCAGAAAATATACAATATATATCACATCAGCAGAGATTGTAAAAAGGAAATAACTATCAGTATAACTGAGGAATAAATTATTCAAATACTTACTTATAACTGCAAGTAGCATCTTATGATGGTTTTTGATTCCTGTGAATAGTTGAAGAAGAATTATATAAAAATTTAGCAACAAATGTTACTGTAATTTTATTAAGGTAAAAGTCAATAATTCATAGACGTACCTTTGCTGAAAGCAAAGCAGGAAAAGACCAATGATAGCTATCATCAGCATCAGGATTGGAAAAATTAAAAGCCATCCTGGAGAAAGGAGATGAAATTTTTCTTTACAACAGAACAAAGTGGGAAAAAGTTAAACAACGTGAGAATCTGAACATAAACTTACTGGAATCTCTGAGAGATGGTTCTGATTGTTCTTCTAAGCCTGATAAAAAATAAACAGAGAATCACAAACAGGTCTGCATTTCATTCACGGAGCCTAAAAGTAAAAGTCTAAACTATTCAACTTGCAAGTTTTCCAAATTTTCTCCGATACACCCAGAAACAGCAGGTTTTGATATGATATTTTTATGCTGATAGAAACAATCTGCTTCTGTTGATAATATCACCTTATTAATCCTTTGCTAACATTCTACAGTACGTAATAAGTAATGAAAGCATCTATGATTCATGCTTATATCCTATCAGGTCAATATCAGTATTGGTCAATTCTAAAAGCTCCAATATTGGTATCTTGTCACAAATGGAAAGGTGTATCAGGACAGCCCTAGATTTTAATGAAATTTTATTAGGTTAGATTTCTACTTCTTCATTATCTGATTGTATTGGTCTAAAACTCAATAAAATTCAGGGTTAGTGTTGCTGTATGGTCATAAAAGATAAATATGAACAATCTATGTATCACTGATGCTCTAATAGTTCCTCACCATCATCAGATGTTCCTTTAACTCCAGGAACGGTGATCAGCTTCTCTCTGGGAGCAGCAGAGAGCACTGACACTGAACATCCAACCTGTGTGCTGCTGGAAGCTGACAGCAGAGCTGTGGTGGTGACGGTGACTGTACCGTTGCTGTGGGTCACACTGCTGCTGTTGTAGTGGGAGAAGCTGAGGTTCTGCTGTAGAACAGTCAGTGTTACAGTGGGAGCAGGTCGACCTGTGGCTGAACAGGACACGACTGACTCTGCAGGATACTTTGATCTGCTGACATCAAGGATGGGTTCATGCATCTCTGGGAGGAGAACAAACATCATGATCAACATCTAGTTGTAGAATTTAACCCTGGAATACAGTCTGGTTCTTACCATAAACATTCAGGCAGGTTCCTGCACTTAAAACTCCATCAGGATAGAATTTGAATCTACAGAGATAATATCCTTCATCTTGCTCTGTAACATTCCTGATAACTATGGAGGAATTCTGCAGACCAGCTTCTGTAAACTGAACTTTATCTTTAAAGTCAGGATTTACTGTTGGACCAATGTCATTGCTGTAGGAAGAGATAGTCCTCTCGGTGCTCTCAGAAACCTTCTGCCAGGTAACCTGATGGACCTCTTCAGTTTCCAGGAGCTGACAGCTGAGAGGAGCATCTTCACCCTCTGCTGCTAGGACAGTCTGCTGGGTCTGGATCACAGCTTCTACACCTGCAAAAAATATGATCTTTCATTTTCTCTGTACTTTGACAGGAAATAGCCAAGCGATCATTTACACCCACACTGCAAGAAAACACCATGTGAGTGAGTGAGACAATGAATGTGAGTGAATTAATGTGAGTGAGTGTTAATGAATGTGAGTGAGTGTGAGAATGAATGTGAGTGAATGAGTGAATGAATAAGAGTGAGTGTGAGAATAAATGTGAGTGAGTGTGAGAATGAATGCAAGTTAATGAGAGAATGAAGGTGAGTGAATAAGAGAATGAATGTGAGGGGGTATGAATGTGAGTGAGTGAGTGAGTGAGTGAGTGAGTGAGTGAGTGAGTGAGTGAGTGAGTGAGTGAGTGTGTATGAATGTGAGTGAGTGAGTGAGTGAGTGAGTGTGTATGAATGTGAGTGAGTGAGTGAGTGAGAGTACGAATGTGAGTAAGTGATTGAATGAATGTGAGTGAATGAGTGAATGAATGTGAGTGAGTAAATGTGAGTGAGTGAGTGAGTGAGTGAGAGTATGAATGTGAGTGAGTGAGAGTGTGTATGAATGTGAGTGAGTGAGAGTGTGTATGAATGTGAGTGAGTGAGTGAGTGAGTGAGTGAGTGAGTATGAATGTGAGTAAGTGATTGAATGAATGTGAGTGAATGAGTGAGTGAATGAATGTGAGTGAGTGAGAGTATGAATGTGAGTGAGTGAGAGAGTGAATGTAAGTGAATGAGTGAATGAATGTGAGTGAGTGAGTGAGTGAGTGAGTGAGTGAGTGAGTGAGTGAGTGAGTGAGTGAGTGAGAGTATGAATGTGAGTGAGAGTATGAATGTGAGTAAGTGAGTGAGTGAGTGTGTATGAATGTGAGTGAGAGTGTGTATGAATGTGAGTGAGTGAGTGAGAGAGTGAGTGAGAGTGTGTATGAATGTGAATGAGTGAGTGAGTGAGTGAGTGAGTGAGTGAGTGACAGAGAGAGTATGAATGTGAGTAAGTGATTGAATGAATGTGAGTGAATGAGTGAATGAATTTGAGTGAGTGAGTGAATGTGAGTGAGTGAGTGAGTGAGTGAGTGAGTGAATGAATGTGAGTGAATAAGTGAATGAATGTGAGTGAGTGAGAGAATGAATGTGAGTGAGAGTATGAATGTGAATGAGTGAGAGAATGAATGTGAGTGAGAGTATAAATGTGAGTGAGAGTATAAATGTGAGTGAGATTGTGTATGAATATGAGTGAGAGTGTGTATGAATGTGAGTGATTGAGTAAGTGAGTAAATGAATATGAGTGAATGAGGGAATGAATGTGAGTGAACGAGGGAATGAATGTGAATGAGTGTGAGAATGAATGTGACTGAGAGAATGAATGTGAGTGTGTATGAATGTGAGTGAGTGAGTGAGTATGAATGTGAGTGATTGACTGAGTTAGTAAGTATGATAGGGTGACCAAATGTCCGTATTTCCGGGACATGCACGTATTTCACGTCCTGTCCCGGGCGTCCCGGGTTTTTTTTTAGAAAGTGAGGAAATGTCCTGTTTTTTAAATTACCTTCATTGGACCATTAAATTTGCAGGCACTAGGGCACTGCTCACGGCGCGGCGTGTAACGTAATCCCTGAGTCAGTGCGGGCAGCCCTGTTCTTAATCAGAATATAGATTTTTATTATTTTTGCTACACAATAGGTATTTTTTGTTAATTAGCTCATTTGTTAATTAATTTTTTCCAATAGCCTACAGAACAGATATTATTTCGTTCATAACTGAGGCTGAGTATCTCTATGCATGGGGACAGAGTGAGAGATTGAATGTGAGTAAATAAGTGAGTGAGAGAAGGAATGTAAGTGAGTGAGTGGGTGAGAGAATGAATGTGAGCGAGTGAGTGTGAGTAAGTGAGTGAGTAAGTAAGTGAGTGAGTGTGAGTAAGGGAGTAAGTGTGAGAAAGTAAGTGAGTGAGTGAGTGAGTGAGTGAGTGAATGTGAGTAAATTAGTAAGTGAGAGAATGAATGTAAGTGAGTAAGTGGGCGAGAGAATGAATGTGAGTTAGAGAATGAATGTGAGTGAGTGAGTGAGTGAGTGAGTGAGTGAGTGAGTGAGTGAGTGAATGAATGTGAGTAAATTAGTAAGTGAAAGAATGAATGTAAGTGAGTGAGTGGGCGAGAGAATGAATGTTAGTTAGAGAATGAATGTGAGTGAGTGAGTGAGTGAGTGAGTGAGTGAGTGAGTGAGTGAGTGAGTGAGTGAGTGAGTGAGAATGAATGTGACTGAGAATGAATGTGAGTGAGTGAGAGAGTGAGAATTGATGTGACTGAGAATGAACATAAGTGAGTGAGTGAGTGAGTGAGTGAGTATGAATGTGAGTGAGTATAAAGGTGAGTAGGTCGGTGAGTGAGTATGAATGTGAGTGAGTGAGTATGAATGTGAGTGGGTCGGTGAGTGAGTATGAATGTGAGTGAGTGAGTATAAATGTGAGTAGGT